CCCGCCGCTTCCCGCCCGCGGGATCCACGCGCCGCGTGGGGACCGTCGCGCGGAGCCCCGCAGCCCTCGAGAGCCGTCGAGGGGCAGCAGCCTCTGGCTTCCCGCGCAACTTACTTTTCCCTTCATTTTCCCCCCTTTTTGCTCCCAAATAAAGCGTCTCCCTCACTGCAAGTCGCCCAAAGCCTGCAGTGATGGGAGAGGGGCCGTGGGAGCTGCTCAGACATGGGCCGAGCGAGCGGCTGCTCCTTTGGTTGCGCCGCTCCGGGCTGCATTCCGGGTCGGAGCCCCTGTCTGCACTTGGGGCCGCTGCCGTTGTCCTGGATACCGGGTATCCGGGACAGGCTGTTTGCGTTTGGGCTCTGGAATGATGGTTATTTTGGGAGGCATGTTTGCTTTTTTGGGAAGCTGGCCTGCGTGGTCTTATTGCCATGTTGGAAGAAAATGGTTGGAGAGGAGGGGTAAAAAAAAAAAAAAAAAAAAAAAAAAAAAAAAAAAAAAAAAAAGGAAAAAGCTGCTTCCTGCATGCATTTTGGCCAGGTTTGCTTAAAAAGGATGGGAAAAGTGAAGGCTGTTTCAAGTGAAAGTGCTTCCAGGGGTAGATGCCATAAAAACTGAGAAGTTTATCTTGTTAGTTGGGTAGATACATGGTGTATGTTGGGGCTGGTTTTTTTTGAATGTGATTTATGCCATGCAACAGGATGGCAAAATACCGCTTTTGCAAAGACTATGTGTCATGCCCACTTGTTTAAACTGTGGTTCAATACCAGTTTGCTGCTGGACCAAAGGATTTCCTTTCCAACAGGGAAGAAGTCTTCCCTTGCTGGATGTAGCAGGCCGGGTTAAGCCCTGCTGTGGTACAGAAGCTGACTTTGAGCTATGGGTCAGAGCGCGCTCCCCTGCTGCGGAAAGCCTGGTTGTCGGAGAGGGCAAATCCGGGATGCAAAGGGCTTTGCTGGGAAAGGGAGCTGCCCGTGGCTGTTGGGAGTGGAAGCCACGGCTAGGGCGAGAGGAGCAAGATGAAGTCACCGAAAGGGCATTTTCCGACACGTCCGGATCCACCTGTGCCGCCGTCCTTGTGCAAGCGCCGGCAGGTATCTGGCAGCGCGGGAGGCTCCGGGATGTGCCGAGCGCCCGGCTTCGCTCCGGAGCGCCCGGCCCTGCCCGCGAGCCCCGACTGGCTTTTCCAGTCGAGCCTCTGCTCCGGTGAGCCGGGCGGGGCGGCACACCTGCGCCCCGTGGGAAAGCGGCCCCTAATTGCCACTCGTGTTGACAGCGTTTGCGCCTTTTCCCCATCCGGAGATGGGTGAAACGGGAATCCTTCTTAGTAATGGTGCCTAATTACAGGGAGCTGCGTTGTTACTGCTATTAACCTTCATTTCTCTCGGCCAGGCTGAGGTTATCAGCCCTTGGTTTCCAGCAGCTCGCAGTGCACCTAGAGCCCCAGGTGTCCCAGCTTTGCAGGCTGCAGATTGGCAGCTTTTCTCCTAAAAAAGGCAGCGTTTGTGAGGGTTTTAGGGAGAGCTTGCAGGCCTGCTCTGCCTGCTGCACGTAGACCCAGCGAGGAGCCAGCCCTGCTCCGTTGAAGGTGGTGTCGCTCCCTATCAGATTTGTCCTTATCAGAGATGCTGATTTAGACTTTCGGAATCGAGGGCGGCTAAATTCGTGCTCGCTTACATCACTTCCTGCGGGGCATCATTTAGCCAATTAAAAAGATGTGAAGACGCTCTCCCAAACATTCTCAAGGCTTGAATCCCATGGGAAAAGGAGGAATTATGCCTCTGGTAGTATTCGGTATTTGAATATCTTACAATGGGTAGATGGGGCTTTTGTCAGCTTCCTCAGTTTTTATTTTTCCTTTTGTGTTTTTTTTTCTTTTTATGTCTTTTCCTGCTGCTGCAGTAAGCTGGTGTTTTTCATTAATATTATTGATCTGCTCCTATTCAGCTCCCCTTGATTTTTAAAAGCTGTTTGTGTTGCTCGTGGCTTGAACAGTGAGGCTGAATGGAACCACCCCTGTCCTTAGGGCTTGGAGCAGGTGGGATTTGAACAGGTAGGTGCCCCCTGTAAAGCGGGGTGACAGGTACCCCCTGTAAAGAGGGGTGGACGTAGGGAGGTGAGCGGGGCTTTTGCTGCTTCCT